GCTATTACTATAGAATTTTAAAGCCACAGAGTTGGATTGAAGTGCCGCAATATAATAGGGCAATGACACTCTCATATTTGGCGAATATTCTTACATTTCTTGTGTGTTTTTACCAGTCTATGGTAGAATTATTGTGACGCTCGCTTTTCTTTTCATGTAGCTTACCGGAGTACGTCGGTTTCGCTTCATGTATTTTCCAACTAACACAGCATCGATGAAGCCTTTCATGCGAGGAGGCATGTCAACTGTTACCAGCACGTATGTCCTTATTTTTTGTCACATACAGAAGTGTACTAAAATTTCCGTAGCTTGTCAGTAACCATGATGTCGCGCCTCACATTTCGTCTGCATCGAAATGCTGGATTTGAAGACAACCGTCCTGAAACGTTGTCTACTTTAAGATTTACGGCGGCTACAGTTTCAACCGAAGTATGATTCTGATATTATCTTAGCCACAAAAGTTACATTCGTGCTTGGGAAAATTGGATGTTTAAAGCTGTAGTACACTTGAGACTACAATTGTCTGCTGATGCTAAATATTACTATCTTGAAATCACAACCGTCCGTTTGGATGAATGCTTTGGAGACTTCAGCCGTTGAGGGACATGATCTTCAGATTCTGTCCGAAGTTCAGTTTATATGTAGGACTATGCGATCCTAAAGTTATCACCCACGTTCTTGAGTTGAAACTGTAGCTGCCGCAAATCTTACAACCTCAAGTTCATATGTCTCAACACGATTGCCTTCAACATTTTGATGCAAATGAAACGTGAGGCGCGACATCATGGTTACTGACATGCTAGGCAAATTAGATCAGCTGGGTGAGCGACTAAGATACTGATAATCCCAGAAATGACCTACGCGCTAGAAAAAGTCGACAGACCGCCTCTCATGAAAGGCTTCACCGATAGTTGAAACATTAAGACCCAAAGCAAGCCCAAACTTGAAGAATTGGTACGTACTCCGGTGAGCTGGATGGTTGGGAGTTATAGAAAGACGTAACAAGTTTCGGATTAGGCACTAACGTAGAATGTAAGGATATTTGCCAGATTTGATAGTGTCATTACTCTATTGTGACAGCGTATCAGCCGAAAGAAATCAAGCTTGTACAGAATAACTTGCACATAATATAATGCACCTGTATTAATTCATAAATCACAAATAGGAAAGAAAAAGGTAGCTTACGCACCATCCCGCAATACGAGTTCAAGGATGGGAATTCTACCAACTTCACGCCTTGCCTGATACCCTCTACGAAATAAAAGTGTGAGGAGCATCGAATCGTATAGGAACAGAGCGACCCAAGCACTCGCTGCCTCTGCATCTTCAAGCTCAAAGGGGAAGATTACTATATACGACATGTGTATACTTACGGATGGAGCTGTATCCGTTGTGTATCCACCGGAAAAATGAGATAAATGCCTTTCTAGTGGGAAATAACCCACGTAGTAAATCCCAGTCTAGAATGGCAGCCCGCCCCCGTTATAGATGCTCTTATAGTACTGTTTTCTCCAAAAAATACGGAGAACTGGCCACAAATATCAATTTCTGGGGACTTTTATCTGCAGAGTTGAATAGAATGGCTCGCACTTACGCTAGCGAGACCAGCTAAAGTCAAACCAACAGTCAACATCAGACCGAACGTCTGCCTTTTGTGATGATAGATGGCCCATATGCGCAATGAAAGGATCACTGGAGATTGGAAATTCATCATTAAAAGCACCGAGATGATAACGGGAAAGTACATGAAGACACTTACGACAGACGATGATCTGGACTGTCAACAAAAGGACTTCTCGAAACAAATGAAACGATCTACACCTAACCAAATGTTAGTTTATATACCTATTCTTTGCGTACTTTGCCAACCTCTTTGTTGAACATTCAGCTCTGACGGATCTTAAAGGTGATGAAACTTACCGCAGGAGCCAATGTAGTTGAGAATAGAGAATAGGTGACAATCAAATTGCCGACTGCAGAAAAGTATCGATTTAGGACGAGCAAATATTTGGGAAGTTTGCCCTTGTGGTGACTTTGCAGGAATCTGACTTCCATTGCTGCGTATAAGTACTTTTGTTCATGAGAAGTTTTGGTAAAGAATTTGAAAGGAAACTTGCATAGGGTGAGGATATGGTCATAGTACAGAAAGACTGCGGGGAATGTAAGTATAGTTCTTTGGCGATATGGGACGTGGGAGGCACGGGATTTCACTTACCTAGACCGGTCAGGTGAAGATATTCTGCCAACCGGCTGCATAATAAGAAGGGAATTTACAGTTAGCAAGTAACCAGCTGGACTTGCTTACGCACATATCAGAGGCGTCCTCGCCCGAAATCTCTGTCGAGTCAGAGGACATCGCAGTCGGAAGAGAAGGGGCGGTATCTTTCGTGCCGTTTCGAGCAACTGGCTATAATAAGTATTCTATGATGGGTCATGTGCTGTGGCAATCGGTGACTTAAATGAACATCGAGGTCGGTTACAAAAATATAGCTGTACAAAAATCCCGACCTCCTACAGCTGAAGACTTCGTAGTTGTTGAGCTTATTTAAACGCTTGAATAAATGCACGGACAACCTGCTGCAGTGTCCAGTACTGCAGTTCGTTGACAGGGAAAAGTCAAAGATGGTCGGAGATTTGGTTCCCGTGGCGAAAAGTTCATGGGAAGACACTTTTGATCATCAGAAGCCTCGAGGAGTGATATCAGTAATAGTGCAAAGGATCGGCCTCACCTATATCCTCTGAGTGTATAGTTAAAATTGCCGACCTTGAGAGAACTGGTAATCTTGGGAGATTGCGACTCACGGTGTCATAATTAATTCAAGTCCATTTGCGGAAGGTGCGGGGAGGAGTGCCTTGCAGTATTGTACATTGAGAATTTACATGTGATGACATCAGGACACAGAAGAATGCAAACCTATATTGTGTCAGCTAACCATGGATGCGACAGGAGCTCCTTGGCTGTTGCACGTTTCTTTGGGTCGAGATTCAGCATACGCTCGAGGAAATCCCAAAAATCGTTTGATGCGACTGGGGGTTCTCCAGTGTACGTGTGGTTATATTTGCGTAACGGCATTCTTGCACATTCCTTTGGATTTGGATCCAACATACTCTTGAGGAAATCCCAAAAGCTCTCTGGTGGCGTTCTGATAGGGAAAAGCGAAACCCGCTGTAAACCTTCTAAAACATCACTTCTCATTCTTCCTGTTGAACGAAAAGGTGAGTTAGCTATGGTCCGGAGGAATCTACTAATGTAGAATTTACCGGTGTTGGTGTCAAAGTAGCGAACAGCCAAGTCATTATCCTTAACCAAGTCCAGTGGAAAATCACCGAAAGTCTGCCATTGAAACATTGGGATGTCATAGGCAGAAGTGGATCTTTCATATAGCGTCCGGCCAATCAGAAGGGTAAATAACTAGACATCGGGGTCAGATGAATGAATTCACACAACACATCTGTTACGTACCGTACATCCAGCACTCCATATATCAACAGGAGCACCCCAGTCACAGTCCAACAACATTTCGGGTGCCCTGTAGCACGGTGCTGGTGGAGTACACTTTTCATCGTCGTCTCCAACAGTCCAATCGATAGGGAGTTTTTTGGAACTGTCAAGATCAAGGAGATTTAATGCTAGTTTGCGTTAATGAAGTTCATCAGTATAAGTAAAATTGATTGGCCCACCATATCCGAAGTCATTTAGAATAAAGTTGGATGATTTCCACCAGTTGAAATCATCCGGTTTATTAGGTCTGACGAAATAGGGAAGTGTAGGTTTAGCAAGGCCATTGCTTAGAAGCATTGAGCCAGAGAATGGAGCGATAGGTTTCTTGGTGCGCAGTGCGATATTTTCGACCTTGACATCTTCATTGAGTTGTACGTATCGAGTCAGAAAATGGGAAGGAAGAGGAATAGGTGCACAAGTCACATACTCACCACAGTGGACGATCCCACAAACGTTGTGACAAAAGTCTAAAGCTAACAAAAGATCTCTCGTGATTGGTTTCAGGGCAAACTCGGGGAAGGGACGTTCCGGAAACAAGACATGTGGAAGCGAAAAAACATCGAGTTCTGTCAACTCCATAACTATACAGGTGTGCTTTCCATTCACGCTCTTTTCTTCGAAGAAATCAAGTGCCTTGGGTACATGAAAGCGTCCAGGGTGTTTAGTTGAACGTTGATAAATATCGATTCTATGTAGACGTTTGACTTCATTGTGCTTGAAAAACCGGGTGTACTCGTCTACGACAGAATTGTCACAAACGCGAAAGAGGTATTACAACAGGCTGAGACTTGCCCTTCAAAATCTTTATGGCAACGTATGGCTTATCTCTGCAAGTATAGCAGCCTTGATCTGGAGCGTAAGGATAGTGTGTTACTCACTTGTTTAATCTATCCATCGCAAGCCATACTGTCGATGAATCTCCAAAGCCTAATTTACGTATGATCGTATACCTTTCATTCTGCAATACGTCGTCCTCATCTGTAGGTCTAAGTCCTCCGCGTCTATGGTAGAGAGATTCTGGTTCTGTTCTCATAACGAGCTCTGGAGGTAAAAGGCGCTCGGGAAACTCCGCGGAAGAGTTGGAGTAATGTCTGACACGCCGTACTTCCGCCATGGCAGGAAACAAGCTTTTGTGACCTATTTCCCCGGTGGGGAAGGTAAGAGATGGAGAGTATACTCGCAGTTGTTTAAAGTTTGGAAGAGAACGCATCATTGTGGACTGAGACAAGTGGTTGTACGTGACTAAGGACCGTACGTAAGCAGACAAAACGGATGCGTTAGCTCTTGAATCTGCGCGTGCCCTTGTTTCTGACGCAAGCATCTCTTATTGTGAGAAGCAAAAGCAATACATCGAAGATATCCAAACAGAGTTGTCTAGGTACGTTTTCTTAGCCCTTCTCTAGAACGTTGTGAACATCCGTGACTTTCTTCTATCGGATCCTTGAAGCCTCTGCCGGTTTCCATCGACCATAAAAACACAAATCTAATCTTTATGGACGGTCTAATAGTGTAGTGGTTAGCACACGGGATTTTGATCAGGTAGTTCCCGTAACCCAGGTTCGAATCCTGGTTAGACCTCGCCTTTTTGTATGCTTGTTCGAGTTCATTTTGGGTGTAAGACTATATTCCGAAACCGACTCTACCCACATCCTAAATAATATACATGCTTCTCAAAATTCGTTCCCACTTTCGGTATTCTCTGACATAGTATATGACCCAGTCTTGATGACAGAATCAGTGGACCCGATCTGATAGTCTGTGGTCCTTAACTTCACCGAGTTCTGGTTTTGCATACGCAATCCTGCAGATCCTGGTTGCCTTTTTTTGGGATGGAAATCATCCATCGTAAGATGTAGAGTTGACAAGACGATTATAGATGTAGGCATCAACGCCTAGTAGGAACAAGGTAAACGCGGTGAGGAGTAAAATAATAATGAAGTAACTTACGGTCAACTGTGCTATGGGATCATACACGATGTAGAATGCATTGCTATTGATCAAGTATAACGCGATTTCCAGTATGAGAGCGATAGAATAGATTGACCCGGATTCAATGACGGTGATGAGGACACGAGTGTAGAAGGAATCGAAATTCGATTTGACACGGCCCGAAAATGGAGAAGATCTAGGATTCATCAAGTCTTGTTGGAGTAATCTGCAATTTCAGAGATTCAAAATGTATAACAAATGATAGAAAACTGGTACTGACTTTAGTTGTAAGATTCTATACACGATAAGAGCTGTGACGAGAACATTTGTTATTAAACTCAGCGTGAAGAGAGCGCCATTCCATCTCTGCAAGTTCTTATCGAAGACATCCACCGCGTTTTTAGCATTTGCAAAGGCAATAGATTGCCCAATACCACAGGCTAAAGAACAATAAGTATTAGCGCATTTTAACTAAGAGAGATATTCACGAGAGCCGTGATACTTACTTACAGTAGCCATCGTCAAGAATACAGGCAACACGCAGATCTTCCAGCTTTTCCCCCAAATGACATAGCATCTCCAAACCACAATCGAATCTCCCAAGGCCAAGTTGATAGCGTGTAATCCTACTTTGACCACGTTATGTGTGAGCGAAACGTCTGCAAAAAACCGTGCGGGGCCTCCAGGGTCGTTTCGTCTGTAGATAAAACCCTCAACGAGACGATAAAAACCGAGGGACACATGAGTCGTTGACAACAAGAACATGGCAATTGCGGCACAGAGAATGGGGTAGTTGGATTTAGATGTCCGACGTCTATACCGGACGACAATGAGATAGATCAGAAACAGCATAAGGTTCGCTCCTGCGGTGGAAAATGAGTTTCATGCCGTTCCTTGACTGAGAAAAGAGACATACCGTAGAACAAAGTTTCTAGCCAAATAGCTGTTAGGTATGCTTTGTCAAGAGGGATGTCGTTGAACCTCAACATTGATGTCGACTTAGCTGGGGTTTTGTCTCTATGCGCACATTTGAACTACAAGGCTAGAGTTATACCACCACGACTCTTTAGTTTTTCAGGAACTACTTTCACCGCTAACCACAACCACAGGTTTCCATCAAATGTGGCACATATCCAACCGCGATAAGGTACCTAGAACAGAGTTGTCAACGGTATGGTTCGAATATACTGTGAAATCTGTGTCATCGTGATTGATGGTAACAGATGATTTGATTGCAGGAACAGCACTCAGCTTAGTTGTGTCGGTCTTCGAAGGATATGTGGAGCGCCAGAACAAAGGTGCCTTTCTCACGGCCGGCATTCCCAAAAGTAGTATCTCCAGGATTGCCGCAACAGCCGTTCGTTCTCACTCCCAACTTCCATCTTCCTGTCACCCGGAGGAAACTACAGCAGCTGTTGACAATGAGAGCCTACTACTTTGACAACCTTCCAGGAGATCAGCGTCTCCCACATGATTACATACCTTCCCGTCCTGTGTCTGACGAGGCCTTGTCAGCTATTAATGTCCACCATTGGAGAATTCCCGTGGAGGATGACGACCACGAAGAAAAGCTGAACGCTGTCGCAAAGGAAAGAGGATACAAGAACCGAGATGTGATTAGCATTTCTAAGGAAGGATTGGGGGATGTGAGTAATCTGTTTAATTTTCTATAGTGACATTACTGCGTGTCGCAGTTGCTGTGATGTCATGGTACTTACTACTTTCATCTTTGTACAGCTATACGAAGAGAAAATCAAGGGGTTCTATCAAGAGTGAGCACTTTATCTTTATTATTTACAGCTACCAATACTTCGGATGCAGACATCTTCACGAAGACGAGGAGATCCGATACATTCTTGAAGGCAGCGGTTTCTTTGACATTCGTGGTGAGCTCAGAACGCTATTCAAGGTTTACGAGACTCTGAAGGAATAGCTGTTCATTCTAACTTAAAAAATGTATTACCCGTGTGCGCCGGCAATATCTATAACTTTGGAAATTCCGCAATGCTATTCTTTCCAAAACATGAGCAGAAGCACCTCAAGACGAATGGATCCGCCTTGCAGTCGCCCCCGGCGATTTACTAGTTGTTCCAGCCGGCATCTACCACCGATTCACCTTGGACGAAGGGAACAAAGTCAGGACCGTCAGATTGTTCAAGGTATGCTACCTACATTTGTACTCTCTTCCCATACAAAGCTTAGGCCTGGAATTGAATAGGACGAGCCCAAATGGCACGCAGTCTATCGTACCACAGAGACTGACGCGAATCCCACTCGGGTTGATTATTTGAGGAGTATTCAAGTTGCTTGAATGTCGAGAATTCGTTGTCGCTCATCTATTCGATATCTAAGGCTGTATGTACTTACGTAAATGTTATCTTTGGATATGTATGTCTGCGTAAATCTTCAAATGATATGTATATTGAAGTTTGCGGCGCAGTTCTTGAAGATGCAACGGGCTGTACTTACCAGCTGCAGCTGTTATCATCACGAAAGTTAAATTGGTTGGGGTATATGAATGTAGTTACAGCACTGATAAACGATGAATGATAGTATACATTGAGTGTCCCAGTGATACGTGGTTAGAAACGATCCTATCTGGAAGGGCCGAAGTAAATACATAATAGATACATATTGAGTGTGCATTGCAAGTCGGCAATAGTGTGCAGTTAGCAATAAATTAGAAGGGATGAAGTTTGGTAGTGTAGCATTGAAAATTTGGGAAGGCGTAAAACGTCCATAAAGTAAATGAATGTGAGTGCCAAGAGCAAAAACGCAAATGCGTAGGAATGAAAAATACAGTTGTGAAGTTATAAACGAAATGAGATTTAGAGGGCAGATAAAATCGAATGAAGACCACCGCAATACCGTACTGTCTGTCAACCTGCAGACTGGTTACTCCACCTCGCTGGGACTAAACCACCTGCGCAGCAACAATCGGCAAGGATACTGCTTCGTGTGAGACCAAAGTTGTGTAACGAGTTCAATGCATGTCGGCAAGTCTGGGTGGAGTAGATGAATACTCATCTTGGAATACGAAAGGGAGATGCATACCATTCAAAGCAACAGTACCCATCTCCAATTGCCCATGAAACCATCCGATTCCCAGCGCCCGCAGCCAACACCAACATCACGCGTCTAGCTAATATCTGGGAGCGGGGACCACGGTCCCGACATTACCCACCTCCGGTACTACGCTTTGGTTATCCGAAGCTCCATCATCTTTAACGGGCGGTGCCGTCGGAAGAGCAAGTTTCCGGTTAAGAGGAAGGGGATAAGCTTTGATAGCTTCAGTGGAAAAAGGGTCGTAAGACGGAGCAATGACGCTCGTACCGGAAGTTCCCATAGTGCCGATAGTGGTAGAGGGTGAAACGGATGGTGAAGCCTCGAAGGGATTGGGAAGAGATTGGGTTGTCAGTGAAGGGAGAGTTTTAGGTGACCTGGGGATAGAGGAGGACGGTTGTTCCAACGGTGATGATTGCAAGCCGGGACTAGTTATAGACGCTGGCGACTTTGTAGAACCTGACTCTGATTCCTCCGCAATGGCCGTCCGACTGACCCGTATTCTCTTCATCCTCTGTGCATAGCTCTCTTTCTTATCCTCGGCAGGCTTCAGCGTTGCCACTGACCTGATGGACTTGATAGAATCATCTCTCTCGATCCTCGAAATTTTACTGGCATTCCTGGAAAGCATAGTATCATCCTGATTCTGACGCTTGGCCCTAGCCTTGAGCAGCCTGCCAACGTTAGTGCTGGAACGAGTCAATGGATCCTCATCGAGAGGTGTCTCGGGAGGTGGAGGTAGCTTCAGACCAGGGGAAGAGTTGACGTTTGAGAATCCTCCTGCATTAATGTCAACGTCGATTGATGATCTCCTGGAGAGAGCCCCCGAGTCTTTTGTATCCTCGGAACCCCGAGTGCCCGTCTCCTTCAAGTCTACAGAACCACTCGTCTTTCCCAAGGCCCTCGAGTCTCTGGACTCGGTTGAGCCTCTAGGATCCCCCAAGGAATTCGATTGTGTACGAGACAAGGCATAATATTCCTTGAACCTATCAGGAATCTCTGGGACCGACGGTGCATTTGCAACATCTGCCCAAGGTGCCCGATGACCTTGCGTGAAAGCAGAAGATTGAGAATAGAGAGAAGCAGAATCAGTCTCCGCGTCTGATGAAGTCCGAACTAGAATGTTTGCAGGAGCGAATCCAGGATCGGCAAGGGAAACGCCTCGGCTGTGTGACTGGGACCCAGAGTCTACGAGTGAAACCCCACGACTGTGTGATTGGGAGAGGCCAGGGTCAGCAAGCGAGACACCACGGTTATGTGATCGAGGCTGAGATGGTATTGACAGAGGTTTAACTGTTGTAGCGGAAGAAAGAGGGTCAATAGTTGCAACGGGACGTTGTGAAGCGTACGCTGCTGGGGTAACAGTCTTCTTTGGTTTCGAAGGAATGACCAAAGGTGTGAGGTTTGGAGGTGACTTTCGTGGTGAGGACTGATTTTGGTTCGGAGATAGTGGGCTGAAAGAGGAGGTGGATGGCGTAGCGGGTGATAGTGAAGATGCGGAGGAAGAGAAGCTAGCACCACTACCTGGTGGGATTAGGGCTGGAGGCCGCAGAGGTTGGTGAACGTTCCATGGGTCTGCTAGCATC